CGACGACATTTTGAGAATCGCGCTCAATGTAACGGCGTCACGGCTGAGAGGAGAGGTTTCAATAATAGCTCCATTTCATACCGGTGATGATGATGATGATGATGATGATGGTATCCGCAGCCCACACACTGCGGTGCTGTCTGCTCCAGCATCGGGACCGATGATGCTGGCTGTTGTCAGCGGCAAACAAGCAAGACATGACAACCTCCTCTCTCTCTCCCTGGGTCCGAGTCCGTTTCTGTTGCTGTTTGTCACTGTATTGCGCGTTGGTGAGGTCGCGTGTGTGCCGTGCTGCTGAGCTAAAACGTTGGACGCGCATCAACCCCAAAAGGCAGCCGAATTCTCTGGCCGCTGAATGCTCAAACACCCCCCAACGGTCGACGCAAGCCATCACGAACGCATTCCGGGACGGCGCACCGGTTTGACGGCTGCCTTTTCGCTCCCCCGGCTCCCGCCATGCTTTCAATTTGTTTGATGGGTCTCGACGGGGCAGGTATGGCATGTGGAAACCAGGTGGAAAGAAAGAGAGCGAGAGCAGCCAGCCGGGGGGCCGGGTCCAGCCCAGTAACAAACGGACCGCACAGGTTCGCAGCAGTACGAATTGCCATTCAGAGTATGGCGCCATCGGCCGACGACCCTCGACCCTGAACCTGGAGAATGAGATGGCCAACACCAACGGCGAATGGGCGCAACTGAGGCCAAAGTGTCGCAATGGGACGGGTTGTGTTTCAACGTCCGCTGTGGCAGCAGATTGGCAGGTTGGCAGATTAGCAGCAAAACTCTGACATTGAGGCCTCGAGTAGTTGCAGCTCAAGAGTCCTGCCACGATGGCCTCAATAAGCCCATCACACCGTCCATACCGATCGACATGAGTCCTGTGCAGGGGCTGGTGAGGACAGATGCTGTTTTCGCACGCCGCACTACATCATCATCGTCTCAAATGACATGGCATAGCATGACAGATGGAATGCACAATTGCGGGTGAAGCACAGCAAAAGCTTAGCACGGCTGGCGTCAATCCTGCGAGGCATACCACAGCACAGCACCACAGCACAGCAAACACGGCTGGGCTTTCTGCTGCAACTTCTGCTGCACCTGCATCTCCCTTCTGTTGCACCGGTTGTGGCTGAGGCCCTGTGTCTCTGTCACTGGTGACTGTTTCTGAGAGAGAGACAGGCGAGAGATCGTCTTGCTGTCTTGCAAAAAGAGGAGCCCAAGAGGAGACGGCCTCATGCACGGTACTTTCTCCAATGGGGACTAATGAAGCTCAAATTGGCCTCGCTCGCTTACCCCCGTCACCATCAGCCCATCAGAACCAAAGTTCCTTTCTCTTCTAAGGACTGAAGACTGCTGAACCCCGTTCCCAGTGTCCTAGACTTCCGCATGTGCTCCACCCGCCCAGCCTGATCCATGACATCCCACTGGATCGTTTCCTTCTCCGCCAACCCGGGTCTGTCTCTCTCGCCTCTTTCTCCCAAATCCGATTCCGCTCTTTCGTCCCCCAATCCCCTCCGCCCCCAGCACCAACCAGCGGGCCCCTCAAATGCTTGGTCCTGCAGTGCTTCATGCTTGGGACCTTGGGCTGAGGGTCTCAGGTCCCCTCAGCCTCCTCCGCGGGCCCTCATCAGGGTTGCAATGAGCAGTCTCGTCCAAATGTTGCAGTGACAGCAGTTGCAGAGACACTCATCGCAGGCTGGGTTCGACACTGGATGGACCCCCTTTGATCCAATCTCCCGGCCTGCTGCCCATGCCATGCAGCACTGCAACTTTGAGCTGGCCACCGGCGACGATTGAGCCACCGTTCGATTCCGGAAATTGACCAATCACACCACACCATCTACGCCCTTCCCTTTTCCGCAACCCTGTGATATCAATCGCGTGGTCCGTGGGCCATCTGTGGAGGTTATCGCCAAAATGCGAGCGAGAGAGCAAGAAAAAAGCAGACAACGAAACACTCAGGAGCCCACTGCGGACCTCTAGAAGCATGCACATCGCATCGCTTACCGTGGGGGCGGCGGCCGACCCCATCAAAGTGAAGACTCAACACAAACACAACAAGGGAGACCAGGCCAACGACAACCCGGCCGTCGTGGAAAATCCCAAACCCCCGGCCCTGATTGATTACATCCGGTGCATCTCGGCGTTCTCGTCCGCTCGGTCGGTCAGTCCAGTCAACCTTCAGTCACCCGACCTCCGTGATCGACATGGATCGGGACCGCCAGCGGGCGCATTCTCACACTGCGACGCCAACCCCTTGGGAAAGTAATCGAACCAAGTCTGACCAAGCAAGGTGTCAAGGTAGCATGGCACCATTGGCATAACACTCTAGAGGTTTAGCCGTACCCATCGACCGGTCTGCTGGTCTGGATCCGGTCGAATGACGTCCAATATGTCGTCCACCTTAACAGGGGTGGTTTTGGTTTTGTTACCCAGTTTTTTTTTAGTGTTCTAGAAAGAGAAAATTCTTACTAATAAACTTCAAGGTATTAATAAATATGCTACTATTTAGCCTTATCTCTTAAGGTTATAGAGAACTTTAAAAATAAAGATTAATATAGCTATAAAACTAGCTAAATTAGTAGGGATTATAATACTATATTAACCCCTCTATAATAATAACCTAATTAAAATAGCTTAACTTAACTTTATTAATATTTATAGTATAGAGATAGCTATAATTAGCTATTTAAACTATCTTAACTTCTAATAAAACCTTAGTTTCTATAAAGATATTATTAAGTACTATATTAACTTAAAAAGAATAGATATATTAATCTTAATAAATAATAAACTAAACTATTACTAAAAAGTCTAAATTAAGTTATTAAACTATATATAACTTCTATATAAACTAATACTATAGTAAATACTACTATATAAACTATCTTTTATTTAAATATAATAAGTTCTTAAAACTATACTAATAGTAATTAATAATAGTACTTTATATTAAACTTTAGATATTACGTTAATAGAGATATTAGCGATATTAGTGTAGTGGATAGCTTTATTAGCTGAGATATAGTAGTGTTAGGCGTAGGAGGACTTATAGTAGTGTGGCTATAAGTACCCTGTTAATTAGTCTCAAAAAGTCTCTTTTTTTGAACCACGCAGCTTATATAACGCAGTTACCTGGGGCTGAGGCCTGCAGGCATTAACAGGGTTGGTTACATCTTAACAGACCCCAATATCTGGGCGGTCGTCTCTGCAGCCTTCTTTTGCCGCCGTGGCCGTTCGTAAGGGTCGGCCCCTCGCTCGCATTCTGGCTCTGGCTTTTCTCCCTGGGCAACGACATTGGATGCGAAGCAAATGACGGGACGTTGGAAGAGACGCAGGACGGACGTGGACCTGCAGGACCTTGACTCGTCACCTGGCTTGCGTCCGTTGGACCTTGGCGCTCTTGCAGTGACGGCACTGGATTGCGCGGTTGCGCACAATCACCACCAGCAATACGGGTAACACAGCACGCAGCACGGCACGCAGCACCCACGCAGTCACGCACTCCCCTTGGACAAGCATCCCTACTCCTCCTCCTCCTGCACAGTACCTTTACGCGCATGCGGATACAAGAAACGAGAAGCACAGGCGGCATGAGGACTCACAGTACCGCCCTTCTTGCAGGAACCACCACGTCAAACGGGCCTTCGTCAGCCAATTGCTCACCACCACCACCCCCTTCAACCTACACCGCGCTCCTGCCGCCCCCCTTGGTCCTCTCCACACGTAGGGCTGGCGTGGCGGTCGTCAGGTCCCAGAGAGTAGTGTGTGCGCCGGAGCGTGGGAAGAAGAAGCAAGTAAACTCAAACCGAGCAAGCTTTCTGACTCAAAATTTCGGTTCGCCGGGTCAGAAATGAGCCAGCTAGTAGCTAACTAATGAGTTACTGCGCGCGGGCGCGTATGTGTGTGTGTGAGTGACGGTGTCCTGTCAGAGGCCAAGCTTCTTCGCCTCGTCACCATCCCATTCCGTCCCTGAACCCGCCGAATCCCGTGCTTGTGCTACCCGTCGTCACCCTGTATTCACGGTTCTCGGACAGAGCCAAGCCCAACTCATTAGACTTGGTCGGCACTTGCGAACCGACGGCCCTCCCCCTCTCCCGTCCATTCCAGCAAGACGGCTCGTTGTTCGTCCGCACCTCCATTCCAAACGCTGCGTGCCTTACCTACGCAGTTTGTCCCGCCGGCGAACCGATGCCGCCGTCCCATTGGCTTACAAAGTCCACCATGGATACGACACGTACTTCGTAGGCGGTAACGAATCAATGATCTCCCGGCCCTCAGTCTGCCCGGCTCATCAGCCCTATGGGGGGTCCCCCCGTCATCCACCAATCAAGTCTGCGGAAATAGAGCAGCCTATCACCTGCTCCGCTCCGCCAATCTCCTGCGACTGCCATATTTGGCCAGACCTTTTTTAACCAGCCGCGTAGCATCACGACAAGGCATCAATATTTCTGCCTTTGGCCCTCTTGTTTGAGAGCACTACGTACCTTGCAGCCATCTTGCGTTCTTTTTTCTTGACCCCCTCACCCCATGCCAGACGTCTGTTCCACCCTGCCGCGGGAAACAAAGTGGCCACCAAAAACCTTGGCACAACGAAACCTGTTCTTTGACGGGCAGCGGTCAAAACGCGCCCACGAAAGAGGCCACGAATCCGCATCGTCACGAACCGGTCTCGGCGTATTAAAGATGGGGGGCCACAGTTGCAGGTCGGCTGCATCCTCGTTTATTCTTCTGCCTTGAGCTTGTTTTTCCCGCTAGCATCAACTCTGTCTCTGTCCATGCCACCCCGGCGGCGCCCCGTAGATCCAAAGAGGCGAATGCATGTCACGTTTCTCCCCATGTAAACTCTTCTTTGGCCCCCCGAGCCGTGGAACCCACCTCAAGATCTGTATCGTAACTACGGGCCACTAGGTTTGTCCCGGGTTGACGGGTCCAGAAGCCAACTCTAAGCCGTAGTCTACACATGACGTGAACGCATACGTACCTGAGGAGCAGGGACGACCTTACCTGGGTCCATCGTTGTTGCAGGCTGCCCGTCGCCAGAGGAGCTCAACCTCGTCTATCAGATCGTCGATCGGTAGTTCCGGGCTGTAAGATGACGGGCTGGTGAGTTGCGGCACCTCCTGCGACGGCTTTCGAGCAGTCCTGGCAGCGGAGCCTCCATCCGGGCAAGCATCATTCCAGGCCTTCTCCACGTCCTCCATCACGGCGCTCAGGGGCGGGTTCTCCAACGTGCCAACAGCGCTTCGGCCCGGTTTCCTGGAGTTGTTCCTCTTCGGCTTTGACACGTCCTGGTTCTGCTTCGTCTTGGAAACTCGTAAAGGGGCTGGCCGGCCGGAAGATGTCGAGTTTGGGCTCTTGACATGTTGCGTCTGTGTAGGTCTCGACGGGTCCTGGTTCTGTTTAGTCTTTGATATCCGTAAAGGGGCAGGACAGGCTGAAGATGTCCAGTCTGGGCTCCTGATCTGGCCCTTGGTTTTGGATACTCGTAAAGGGGCAGGCCATGCGTAAGATGTTGACTCTGGGCTACTCACCTGCGGCGTCTGTGGCAGCTCCGGCAAGCCTGATGACACTGGGTCCCTATACGGCACAAAGTCCCGGCCCCGATTCGGTCGTCGCGAACCCGCAGAGGCGTCCGTGTTCCGACGACCCTCGGGGCGATATGCCATATAAGTCCTCTCCGGCTCCCGTATCCGCGCGTCATGCTCCCTCCACCCAGCCCTCCCCCTCGTCCCCTCCCTCCTCTCCGCCTCATCCATCGGGACAGCTATATCCACCACCTGCGCACTCACAAGGTCAGCAACGGCGTTCATCTGACTCACCTCCACCTCACCTCTGACACGGCACCGGCGCGCCGCGTAGTCATACTCATACCTGTCCCTTCTCCCCACGGCCGCCGCCTGCGCGTCGAGGAGGCGGCACTGCGGACACCGGCCGTCGATCTCGACGCGGACGTCTTGCAGGGGGCACTCGCGGCGGGGCTCCGGGGTGCGCGGCCGCGGCTCGGGGGCGATGAGGAAGCAGAAGATGCACAGGAGCCAGGAGCTTCGTTGGCGGCGGTGGGCGTCGAGACGCTCTTGCAGGCGCAGTTGGCTGAGGCGCTTCTGGTGGGGGCAGTCTTCTTCCTCTGTGCGTGTGTGGGAGCAGCTTTTGTAGTACGTTTGCTTCTTGTAGCACATCTTTCTAAGGATGATGGTGTAGTTGATGGGGGTATGGTTGGGTGTTTGGCAAGCTCGTTTGTGACTGGAAACATGTTGACTGCGGCATCATGGCAAGTCATATATTTGACGATGCGTGGGCGTTGGTTTGGGACAATTTCTTGTGTTTTGGTTCTTTACGGCAATTCATGATCCGCCAGGAAGCCTAGAGTCGTGATGGTAGAGGACAGAAAACGTATTGCCTGAACCTTTGTTCGTATGATTGTCAAGAACATTGTTCTACAAATAACTTGTTCAAGCTCAGAAAAGTCCAGAATGTGTTTCTACTTCTCTAGTAAGATACCAAACATTGTGTTAATTCATAGGTACGCATTTGTCTTGAGAGGTATCTAGAAAGAGATTGGAGCAACCTTCCAGACGCTGTGTGCTTCCAGCTGTTCTGTGTCATACTTAAGACGATGATGGAAGAAAGTGTCGACGATTGAGAAACCTTCAGATATACCTGGGCGCTCACGTAGGATCGGTGGTAGTACAGATATGCGACACACCACTGGGGACACTTCAAAGAACGATCGATTACAATGCTTTTGTTGGGAGACTTCTTCAGCCTGGAGGCCAAGGGACTGGTCGACTATGATCTCACGGCTCGTAACAAGTAGGCCGAATAGCAAAGGGACATGGCTCGTGAGCCACGACGCCGACCATGTTCTTTGAGCCCACAATACACACTCCGCTTTGCGAAGGTAGCGAGAAGTTTCAAGAAAGGGTCGCTCCTTCCAGACTGTAGAATTTTCTGTCGCAGCTGCCGTCTTTGACCAAGTCTGAGTCAAATAGGGGCGCGCCTTCTCACCTTGCCGAATTAATTGACTCTCAGTAACTCACCAACCACCCCCACCACAAAATCAATTCACCAACGAGCAATACCGCAAAGATGCCTTTCAAACTTTTCTCCCGCTGGACCGGAAGGAAGCTTACACCAACCAGTCCTCAACCCAGTCAGTCAGGATTCAACTACACGTCAACATCAACAATCACCTTGGCAAAAGCGTCTTCCGCTCCTCCCAAACTAACAACAGCATACGCCCGGGACGTCCCCCTCGAACTTCACACGCAGGGCATCAGAGAGACGCTAGATTGCCTCAGAGGAGGTGAGTCTTCAGAAGCCCTCCTCGCGCTTCGCCGTCTCCAAACCGAAGCTGAGAAGCGCGCCCGAAGCAACCGTAACGAAGCCGACACCATCCTCCGCGCCCTCAACATCGTCCGCGGCATTACGTCGTGGAGGCCAGAAGTTACGCAAGCTGAGAGCGGCCAGGATCTGTACCGGGATGAAAGCAGCAGCAGCGATGAACAGAAAATTGCGAAACAGCAGGAAGAGGTAACGGCGCCGCCTGCCGAGGGAAACAAGATGAACGTAGGTACTGACGGGACGAGCAGGTCACACAGGACGAAGGACAAGATGAAGAATGGGAAGACCTTGGGAGACGGATCTGGCTCCCGTCCATCTCTTCGCCGCATTTCTTCGGAGACGGAAGGGGCGACTTCTCTCTCCTCGCGTCGCAATTTTCAACAGGAAACGATGCGCGATGTTCTTCCTCGTGTTCCCACGGACGGAAGGAGAGAAAGTCCCGGTTCGCTGAGCACTTCGATGATGATGTTGGCAAAGAGCCCTACCGACACCTCTGAGGGAGACTATCGAGAGAACTCTGCGAGGTCCATGAGGCATGTGCTGGACACATACCGCAACCCGGGCCCGTCGTCGCCCTCGGCGTCCGCGACATCGAGCGAGTACTCTGACGAAGAAGTGAATATTAGCGACTTCCCCCGTCCTCCCACCGCTCTCGACTGGCACGAGAATAAGCAGGAGACATCACCTATCGAGAGCCCCATCGCAGACTCTTCAATTGAAGAGTTGGTTGCACACGAAGAACAAACAAACGCCGAAACCGGACACGCAGGTGCTGTTGAGATCTTTGGAGGTACGGCCCAGCTGGTCTTCCATACCAATAAACCAATTCGCTTACACAACGTAACAGAACCTGCGTCAGAACGCAAACCCAAGGAGCTAGATAACGGAAACCAAATTACCCTTGGCCCGGGAACCTACTCTTTCATTCAGGGTGGCAAGACCATGACGATCACCGTCAGAGGTAACGACCAGGTGCAGGTTGGATGCACCAACCCTCCACCCATATCCAACGTCGATCAGGATATCCTCGATGACGACCCGGAGCCTTCTTCAGCAACGACAGACGGTTCCATTGACGATCTGCTTGAACATTACTCAGCATCCTCGTCCTCATCTGAAGGCGACGTTCTCACTCCCGTGGATGTTCCACTTCCGGAGATACTGACCCAAGGGATTGACCTGCCTCCGTTCTTTCCTAATGCACCCAATGCTCAAGGTCCCCTAGCTGTAATCAGAGCAGGTCTCTCTCTACCCAAGACAGCAACTCATAATGAGATCCAAGATCACATTGCTTGTAACTCGACCATCCTTCGCTACCTCGCTCTCCACGTCATCCCCTCCCCAGACATCAACCCGGTGGAACAGCTCACAGATCTCCACGAGCTGGTCCTCGCCTCTCAGGATGGCAAAACAGAGTACACTCGTCTCCTGCAGGCGATACGCTCGGTATATTGGGACTCGGGCCCAGTGATTGAGATGCTTAGCTTTATTGACGCCTTCGCACCTCCAAACGACCTCCGCCGAAGGCATAGAATCCTCCCAGCATTCCGCAAGATTCGCGCTGCGGACTCACAGAGGAAGGGTTGTCTCACGTCCACAGAAATTCATACCCTGAGCAAGCACGGCCTCTCACTTTACGACCTTGTATCCATAGCTGATCTCCCGAAAGTTATCAGCCAGGGCTTGATGGATCGTTTGATCGAGGCGGCGGCAACAGGGGTACTGGAGACACTGAAGGAGTGCGATATCCTTAACGAAGACGGCGCGCTGCTGGAGTTGCTTTCCGCAGTGGATGGCAGGGAAACGAATCAAGAGTGCATTGGGAGAAAGAAGAGCGTGGTTGGAACGCCAAGTCGGCTTCGCTTTTGCGAGAATGTCGACTCGATCGAAGAGTCTGAGAAAAATGACAGTGCTGGAGAGGCCGTGAGAAGCACCTGGAGTGTGAGTTCCGAGTCGAGCGACGATGGTGATGACGAAGAACAGTATGATACGCAAGAGAACTCTAGTATGTCGGACTCTCAGCTGGACAATTACGAGACTTTTTTCAAGAGCATACAGAAAACCGCACCGAGCTCTACAGACAAGTCGCTGGACGACCAGACTGAAGCACCTATTACCAATCGACGACCGATGCTCGCAAGATCCACTGGTGGCTTCAGAGCAATCGACGCCACGTCCGTCTCGGTAGACGAGGCGACGAAGAAAAGTCCCGAGCTGTCACGCTTCTTCGAGGAGATTGGAACGAACCCAGTGGTCATTGACACGGACACAGTCTCTAACCAGTTTCTTCACCCTTTCCTCCAAGACGCATTATCCCATGATGGAACGGCACAAAAGCTCTCCCTGCACCCGTTCCTACAAGGAACAGACGACATATCTCAAGACTTGACGACATATTGGGGGGTGAATTTGGGAGGCATTTTGGACGCTTAATTGATTAAGCAGGCGGCATTATAAGCACGGGTAGTCATATAGAAGGTCCACGGCGCGACGAGACATAATGGCATCGGGGATAACAAGATAGACTGCCGCAAGGCTTTTGACATTCTCAAATATATACCAGGGTATCTTTAAACATGCGCCCACCCATTATAAACAAGAACCTGCCCCTCGTTAATCAGGCAATCGACTCCCTTCTCGCTCCTCCCCTCCCCTTCCGCCTCCCACTCCCTCACCCTCTTCCTGACAACCCACTCCTTGACGCTATCACTCGTAAGCAACCTCCTCAACCTTCCCTCCCACTTCCCCATGATGACCCTCCACACGCTCACCCAGCTACCCTCCGTCGGGTTCGCCCACCGGTACGCGTCCCCATCATACCCGACCCTGACCCTCGGATTCAGCCAAACGCCCAAATGCTCCGTCAGCGGGTTGTCCACGTGGATCAGACAGCACTCGCTGCCCTCGAGGTGCTTCTCCTCGGCGAGCGAGTCCGCCACGGCGCGGAACCTGAGTCGGCGTCCGCTGGCCTCGGGCGCGAGGAACGGCGCCGCCGGCATCGCCACGATGCCGTTCCAGCAGCTGCGCACCGGGACCGCGTCCGCGTACGCCATCATCGCCGCCCGGCTCGCCGCGGACCGGAAGTACGGCCACGTCTGCATCAGGTGCGCCTGCCCCGCCGAGTCGCGCAGCGCGAACGTGTCGTAGTAGGAGGGCGGCTCCGAGAAGTCGAGCGAGCACGCCGCGGCGTAGAGGCCCCCGTTCGTGTCCAGCAGCGCGAGGACGTCGTCGGCCTGTAGGTAGAGTCAGCAAGCGGAACCATGGGCGGAAACCCGGGGATTTCTTACAGTGAAGACGACATCGTTCAAGAACAGGACCGTATCAAACACTTCCCCCTCATCCGTCAACCTCCACAGATCCCGCAACGTCAAGTTCCTCAACCGCGCAAGGAACGGTATCCTCCTCATCTCCCTCTTCCCCCTCGGCGTCATGATCCACCCCTCCTTCTTCCCCCCTTCCGCGCCCCCTTCCGCTTCCTTTTCCCCCTCCTCGACCTCCTGCAAATGCGTCCTCTCATCCAGCACCACATTCCTCCTCACCCCCCTCTTAAACAGCTCATCGTCCAACTGCCTCAGCCAGACTTTACTCTCGTCCCAGCTCCCGCTCTCGTACACGCTCACAAACACGTTCCCCCGCCCCAGCGCGTCCACCAGCCCCAGCACCGCCGCGTTCCAGTGCTCCTTGATCAGCGCCCCGTCGTTGTAGTGCATCCCCGCAATGTACACCTTTTGCGTCTTCCTAGGCCGCTTCGCGATCGCCTCGCGCGGGGGCGTCGCGCCCGTGATGATGCGCTGCACGCGCAGGGCGTCGAGGAGGGTGTACGCCGCCAGGAGGAGGACGAGGTTGCGCAGCGCCCGCGAGCGAAGGGCTCGGCGCGCGCGGAGGCGGAGACTGTTCAGGAAGCCCATTTCGTTATCTGCTTCGATTGGCGTCGAGCGCTTTTTTTTCCCCCGGCGGGTTCTCTCGTTCGGTTCGGCACCGGCGATCTGGCGTCTTGCGGGATGTCACCACACCCAGACCGGGATGATGTCTAAATTAGCAAGGAAGAAGACGAGGCCTCGGAAAACAAAACTCCATTGATGCGAAACGGGAAGGGGAAATAGCAGATCAAATGTGCTTGCGTGTCGTGCGATCCTTCCACGCCTTCCTCCTGCGCTGACCGAGAGAGGGAGGTTTAACTGTCCAGATTCAAAGCTCCTGCTAGGGGTTCCAAACTTCCAATGGTCCCCTGACAGAAGGTCACTGGAATTGGTCAGGGGAACTGATGTCATTGGCTGACAGGGCTGACAGGGGTCAATAATTGGGAGCCTGGAGAAGCGGACAGACTCGGTGATTGGCTGGTATGGCTCAGCTCATCCCTCCCGTGGATGACAGGGGTAATAGGAGCGCATCAGCCTCAACGCATAATGTCACTATTTTTACATCACACGCAGACGGGCTTCACTTTGAAAACTGTCGAAAACAGCTTAACTGGAACTATTCATCAACGCAAGAAAACTAGCTGTACCCCCTACAGTGTGTCCCATTTGTTCGTCATCTCATCTTACATTCACAGCTTAGCCCCATCCCCTCGTTGGCTTCTGATGACTGTATTTCCGTGACCCGAACCCCGGGTCGCTGGAGCGAGAATCAATCCGATTTCTGGAGCACCTTCGTCTAAATGCTGTATCAATCCCTTAAAGGGCTTGACTTCAACCTCACGGCGCTTATTTGGCGAAGTGGAGGTCGTAGCCGAGCCACTTGCGACGAACGACTTGCTCGACGGTGAGGCCGGGGTAACCGTAGGTCAGCGGCAGGAAGAAGTACCAGCCGGCAACGGCAACAGCCAAAATGACACCACAGGCGATCCAGGCGGGGAGAAGGCTCTGGCCAGCAAAGCGCTCGCGGGCGCTGATGTGCCTCTTAGGTCCATCGCCCTTCTTGTTGCCCTTGATGACCTGGTAGCCCTCCTCAGGAGCGGGCTCGGCGGTGAAGATGAACTCCAGAAGAGCACCCGCAACAAGGCAGGAAGCCAGGTGTGCCGGGAGGTAGTGGTGGAGGAAGAGCTGACGACCCATGAGGTAGAAGGGGAAGTAGTGAGTGGCCCAGGCAAGGAAGAAGAAACCGGTTGAGTTGTAAAGACGGGAGCGCGTGCCTACGTTGGGTTAGCTTGGTATTAATACAGAAGATGCAGTTTACTCACGGTGGTCAAGAGCGTCAATACCCCGTCTAAGAGAGACCTGGTCGGCACCGATAATACCGGCGAACACGGCCAACAAACTGCTCGCAAGCCACCAGCCGACAGGGTTGCCGAGGAAGTAGATCTGCTGACGAGTGTCGTTCTGGGTCCAGAAACTGACACCACGGAGCAGGAAAGGCCACTGCCAGGGCTGACTGGCGTACGGGTGGGAGCTGGTCAACTGGTTGTTGTGCCAGAACATGGAGCGCTGAAGCTCAAACCACTTGCGGAAGAAGGGCAGCGTCTTAACCTCCTTCTCCGGCTTCTCGCGTCTCTTGGAGTCTGCGGGAACGGAAGGGAGATCCTCAACGAACCAAATGTTGGAGCTAGGGGCCAGCTGCTTGTTACCGTTGATCTCCTGCTGCTTGTGTGCCCACTCGGGAAGAGGGGTGGTGTGAGTCCACATGGCAACCTTGCTGGGGTTGTGAATCAGCTTGAAGTGGCTGGAAATACTCTTAAACTCCTGGCCAGCCTTGCCGTTCTCGACTCTGATCTCGAAGAGCGTGTCGTTCAGGCGCTCTCCGTAGGCTTCGGTCAAGGGAACGGTGGTGAACTCCTGGTTGGTAGGGTAGTAAGGAGAGGCAACATCGTGGGAGAGTAGCATGGTGTCGGTGCCCAGGTGGCGAAGACGGACGACATCGTTGTTCTTGACGGCCTTGCCCGTCTTCTGGTCGTCGACCAAGGGGATGACCTGCCAGTAGTTGTTGGTGTCGTTGTAGGGGTAACCAGTGACCTGCTGGCCCTGGCTGGAAACACGGCCGTCGTCGTAACGGAGGGGGTAGCGGTCCTCGTGGCTGTGAAGGTACGTCTTGGTCTCCTTGTGGCGAAGGGTGATCGTGTCGTAGTACTCGACGGTCAAGGAGTTGGCCAACATGACGTTGTCGCTAAGGGTCTCCTGGAACTCGGGAGTCATGAAGTCGTCGCCAGGACCGGAACGGGTGAGGATGGCAAAGTGAACCTGGAACCAGAAGAGGTAGAAGAGGAAGGGCATCAGAATGAGGCCGAATGCGCGGGCAGCAAAGTGCTTGCCAAAGTCCGGAAGGGACAGCGCGCCACCGGGTCGCTTAATGTCCAACAGGGCCCAGAGATCGATAATCACAGCAGAGCCAATGGTGACGAAAGCGAAGAGACCGACGTACTTGGTCGACATGTCGGCAGACAGGGCGAATCCGGTAAGGATAAGCCACTTCCACCACTTGCGCGAGAAAGGCTCGTGGCGCAGCTTGTAGAACTTGATGTAGCAGAGCAAGCTGCATGCCATGCAGAAGACCAGGGTAGCATCCAAGAGGATCAGTCTGGTCTGACCAATGTGGGCGTTGTCGAGGAGGATGAGGCCGGCGGCCAGAATGCAGGCAGGCAGACTGTAACCAGACTCCCACATGATGAGGTAGGAGATGGTGACCGTCAATGCGCCGAGGATGGCGGGCAGAGCGCGGAAGGCGACATAGGGAACCTTGTTGGAGATGTACGAGTCGCCAATGTTCTCGAAGTGGAAGTGTCCGTCGTAGCCTACAAGCCATCCCATAAAGGCAAAGAGGAGCTTTCCGAACGGAGGGTGGACATCGAAGAAGTAGGTTCTCTCGAGGTAGTAGGAGGCAAACTGTTTGGAAAGCAAGCTGTCAGCTATCGTGTCTTGAAGAAGGTGAGAAAAAAAAGCGTCAGAGCTGACGTACCTTGCCAAAGTGAACCTCGTCGAAAACGACCTCATTGGGATGGCTGATACCCCAAAAACGGGTGACGAAGGCGAGAGCAGTGGTAACGACGAGGCCGATGATGTGGCCGCTCTCTGCGCCGGCGCGCTTGGTCTTGTCGGCGGCCTTGGTCAGAGAGTCGGCGACGGCGTCAGCAGCGGCGCCCGGGACAGCTCCCTTCTTAGTAGAGCCCGTGTTGCGCTGGCGAACGCTGCCCTGCGGGGAGGTGGCAGTCGTCTGCGCCATGTTGGGAATCGGAAATGGACGGGAGGAGCTGCGCGAGACGGGGTTTGTCAGTTCCAAGTCTCGCGAGATTGGAGGTTGAGTTGGGAAGCTGGAGATAAAAATGTGTGGTTCCCCAGAAGAGTCGCATCAAGAAGGACAGGTAGCTCTACGTGGTGGTACGTATCGCGCCTCGGAGCTGTGCTCCTGCGGTTGTAAGGGAGCAATTCAGGGGCTTGTAGCTTACTTACACGCTATGGGAAAAAGTGGACCGCGTCAGCTCTCACGTCAAGGTGATTGAAGAAGACAGGCGCGAAGAGAGAATAGTGAAGAGAAGAAGGAAAGGTTGAGGTAAGGAACGACAGAAGAAGCTGCGGCAGGGAGGCAGAAACGAAGAAGAGGGAACAAAATCAGTCTCGCGATGGAGAAGAGTGGTGGTGAAGGACGAACGACAAGGAAGGTTGGATCACCTCGGCCAGGTAGCTCGCGCGGAAAAATTAATAGGAAACCCCCTGGCGAAGAAGTGACAGTGAACTTTCGTGGACACAGGATGGCCTGGGGGATAAATTTGGGGGCAGGGGTGTCTGCTGCTTTTTTCCTTCTGCCCCTTGGTGGACTGGACTTGAAGGACTGGACACTTGGCCATACTGAAGCTGTCAGCCTGCCTGCTGGACGGAGCTGAGGTGGGTTACGCTAACAATTTTTGGGGGTTGATTTCGGGGGCGTCTAGGTTGGGGAGAGCTCCATCCCACCTTCCGCCGTGATAAGATAAGAAGGCCCGGCCCTTGCAACCATTGACGGCACTCTACCCGACGCATTGTACGCGCAGTCTGTGGCTACGCCCGTGTGTTTGCTCGGAGAGAACAATGTGATTAGCGAAAGTAAGGACTTTCTGAATCGAGTTCAATTCCTGACGCAGCAATTCAGCTGGAATATGATGCAACTGACCTATCACGGGCCAATGTTGGGGGAAGGAACATTGTCCCTTTTGATACTCTCTAGCTCATGTTATTCCTCGTCCACTATGTAATACACACAATATGCATTCAATCTTTCTACCTGCAAAACTGCTTTTAACCAACTGACGAGCTTCAGAAAAGGCGTAATCGACAGTCAGTTTTGTACGTAAACTCTCGGTCGGGTAGCCGCTCCGATGAGAGGTAACAGGACCCCGCTGCTACCCGCCCGGGCCTCGACGCCGAAGAACGGAGGGCGCAACGGCGGGGTTCGCCCGACCAGCCTGGGAAGTCCCAACTTAATCCTCACCAAAGGCGCGCGCTCAATCCACGGTCCGTAGAAACCTGCCCCTCCTCCTTCCACTCTTCAATCCTCATGTCCTCTTCGCTCCTCAGATCCGTCACCAGAGTTTCCTCTCGTGCTCTCCGTCCCTCAACCCGCGTCTTCACAAAGTTCCACGCTCAGCCCTTTAGCATCCACACCGTCAAGATGTCTGACCAGTCCATCGTCTTCACCAAGAACGCCCCGGCCCGTGAGTCTTTTCTGAATGCCCTCGTCTTATGTGACTCAATTGACTGACAACAATCATTTGAAATAGCCGTCGGCCCTTACGTATGAGCTCACTCACACGAGCAATTGGACCCCCAGTGAAAAGCTAACCACCACCGCAGTCCCAGGCCGTCAAGACCCCCACCGCCATCTACTGCTCCGGCCAGATCCCCCTCAACCCCGAGGGCGTCCTGATCGAGGGCAACATCACCCAGAAGACCAAGCAATGCATCTCCAACCTCGAGGCCGTCCTCAAGGAGGCCGGCTCTTCCATTGCCAAGGTCGTCAAGGTCAACATCTTCCTCGCCGACATGGGTGACTTTGCCGTAAGTTTCCGCGGCCCCCTCCCTTCCCCAAACCTGCACTTTCTAACTGGCGTATACAGGAGATGAACGGCGAGTACGAGAAGTGGTTCACCCACAAGCCCGCTCGCAGCTGCGTCGCCGTCAAGACTCTGCCCAAGAACGTCGAGGTTGAGATTGAGGCTATTGCCCTTCCTTAAGCGCCTTCCGAGGTCGGAGGTTGTAGTAACTCTACAGACTAAAAGTAAAACTGTTAACCCTGCTGCGCCGTCTTTCTTGTGGTTTTCGATCATGCATTCGTGATGACCATTCCACCTTTTTTGTGCCTGCCGCTGTCATGTCACCTTCTTCTGAGTTGAGGCTGTGAATGGGACGGGGCAAGCTGTGATCAAGAGCGACATGGTGACGACGTTGGAAAAAGTTCCAGTTCCACTTGAACAATCGATTCTCTGACATGAATCTCCCGTACAACTTGACATCTCGAGAATGCTTCAAACCACATGAATATCACAGATCTCTACCTCACTTAATCTGAGTACTCCTAACCCCGATTAACCTCACCACATGAGGAGCACCACTCCAGTGCCGTTCTTCAATTCGTCAACACGAATGCGTTTCAGCATCTCCCTTGAGTGCGACTTCACGATGCAACACCGCATCCCTCATCTCAACCACTGCATCAACACAAAAAAGAACCTCATTAGAGTGAATAATAAGCAGAAAGGTAGTTCTTGTTCTACACACCCCTCCGTCTATCGGTACAAATCCTCCACTCTACCAGAGCCCTCAAAGGCAAAGCCCCAAGCAGCGCGAACCCAATCGTTAAAGAAGAATCCCGTTCAGGCATCGTTTACTCGTCGTCCTCGTCGGCAGCCTCGACGTATCTGGCGCGGATGTCCTTCCATTGGCGCTATTGTCCCACATGCGTTAGCATTCCCGCTCGGGACAGAAGAGTATATGAGGACGGGAAGGGGTTTTCTCTTACGCCGCGGTTAAGGTAGTCCCAGTACTTGTTCATCGCGCCGTTGAAGCCCCTACGCAAAGTAGACCAGTCAGCATAACGCTCGCTCGCTCTTCGCCGCCCTGATGCCTCTCCCGCCTGCTCTTTCCACCCGACATCCTCCTCCACAGTCATCGCCTTCCTCGGCCAAGCATCGTCTCAAATCGGCAGGGGGGGTCCGGGGTTCCTTACATCTCGAAAGCGAAGCCCGTCGCGAAGACGAAGCCAAGCATGGAGAAGTTATTCTTGAACAGGGCGCTAATTCACCACAGTCAGCAAAACTCAAGTTCCACAGTCATCGCGGCGTTCAGCCGGGCAGCCTTGTTCGGTCGGAACGGGGTCGGAGGGGTCGGAGGGAGACTTGCGTGTAGAAAGGTCGTGCGGCGGCCTACGGAGAAAGGATGAGCGATTAGCCAATTGCGGTCGCGAGGGCGCAACAACGGGCGCGGAAGTCTTACCATCTTGAATGTCGTCTGTCAAATCGCACTTCGTGTGGGGAGGACGAGGGTGCTTCGATGCGGTCGGCGAGGCGAGAGTCGTTGGAGGGTGATCAGGTGGTTTTCGGAGGTGAGGTTCCTGACGAAATTCGCGATGTCCCGGGAGGACCAGCTTTGCCGAATTGCCTTTCTTCTGATTGGCTACTCGGGTATCCACTATTTTGGACTAACGGACTTTCCAGCTGACTAAGTCGAGAAAAGCCTCATCAGCACAAGCCTCGTCAGCCACATTATCACAAGCCATCACTGCTTGTTGCCTCTGGTCGGGCCTTCGTATTGCTTCACTCACGGGTCGTCGAAGACTGTCAAAAACGACAAATACGGGACCACCGGGCCTCAGAGTCATTTGGCCTGCTACATCGCAACTAAACCTCATGGCTGGGTACACATTTGACGTGATTGGATGGGACAGCGCTCTTCACGGCCATGGATGCAATCTTCAACAGCCTGTGGCCTAATCGCCAGAAACATCTTGGTCCAGTTTGCAAGAATTAATTGAATTAACGTTATTAACAGACCTCTTGTGCCAATGAAACCTAACTAACTAACGCAGCTGCAGATTATTTATGTGCAAGGTGAGTGACTTTCTCCTTGGCGTGCTCCTTGGCGTTGTGCATCTTCTTTCGGAATGGGATATGTGTTTCCGCTCTCCTACCGCGAAGACCGGTAAGCGTTCTCAGAGGCATTTCCTTGCCCTCGACAAAGTCGCGATGCTCTTCCAGTCGCTTCTCTGAAATGGTTTCTGGCGCCCACTTCTTACGGATGAACCAGGGCATACATGCGCCAACCCAGTTGTCAGGGAGCAGACGGATCAAGACACCCATGGGCAACGAAATCGCACCGAGACCGATAGAAATGCCCCATTCCTTACCAGTCAATCGTTCGACCTTGAAAGCATCGCTTCCGACGAAAATGATCAGCAGCTGCCCGCCGATCATGATCAGGTTGATGGCGATGAAGAACGGGTTCTTGGTAATGTTTTCAAAGATATTCAGCTTGTTGTCCAAGCGGCGGTTGCTGTTTCTCGTTAGCATGTACACAATCGCCAAGTGCTGTGACCTACTTGAGTTCGTTGAAAATCTGCAGCCACACAAAGGTATTGAATACGAGCGTGTTCAATTTCACTGCTCTGTCTTGCCCTTCCAAGACATCGACTAGACCAGATCCCGCGTAATACAAGACCAGCGTCACGACCAGCTGGACCACAGCTTGGCCGAGTATCATCTTGATCATTCTCAATGTGATGAGGGGAGCAGATTTGCGTTCTGGCTTGCGATCGAGCACGCTACGCGTTGGGGGGTCCGTGGCAAGCGCAAGAGCGGCAAAAGTGTCCATAATGAGGTTGACCCAGAGCAATTGAATGGCATTCAATACAGAAGCTTGGTCTTCGCTGGCAACCGCAGTAACGAAGGTCAGGACGACAGCGGTGATGTTGACAGTGAGTTGAAACTGTATCTTGGGTTAGAAACAGCGACGACAATTTGACGACAGATAGTAGACATGAGCAACGTCGGGGACAACGATGTTGACTGCAGAAACGACAAGCGGAAGAGACAATAGGCGGTAGAGACGACGGCGACGACAGTACAGATATGAGAGACAAAATAGCAACGTACCTGCAGGAACTTCTTCACGGAATCGTTGATGGCTCTGCCCCACATCAAACCTTTCACGATTGACGCAAAGTTGTCGTCCATGAGAATGATCTCCGAGGCCTCTTTCGCAACCTCCGTTCCGGCAATACCCATAGAGAAACCAATGTCTGCCATTTTGAGTGCTGGAGCATCGTTGGTACCGTCTCCAGTAACAGCAACCGTTTCCCCGAGTTCTTTGAGAGTGTGTACCAGGATTCGCTTGTCATCAGGGCTGGAGCGAGCAAGAACCTGGAGCTTCGGGACGATGTCCTTCAATTCTTCCTCTGACTTCCTGCGGAAGTCCGGTCCCTCCATGGCAATGCCACCCTTCTCAGCATGGTAGATCCCACACTCCTTGGCAATGGCCTTTGCGGTCAAGATGTTGTCGCCAGTCACCATGCGAACCACCACACCTGCGTGGTCGCAGTCTTTGATTGCGTCAATTACAGTAGTACGCAGAGGGTCCTTGATACCATAGATAGCGATCAGAGTCATGTCTGCATGGATCTTGTTGAAGTCTGCTGCTCGGGGATCCTCAGAAGAGACGGCATCTTTCGGAGGCCATGATTCGAAATCCTTGAACGAAGAACCAATAGTTCGAAGCGTTTGTCCGGCGTACGATGTGATGGTTTGCGAAAACATCTCGCGGTCCTCTGACGTGATCTCCGTAGTTTTGAGGTCAGAACTGCTGGGGTCTTCGAGCACCTTGGTGCACTTGTCCAAGAGAATCTCGGACGCACCCTTGACATACGCTCTGTACTTCCCATCCGCAAGCTTGACTACTGTAGCCATGTACTTGACCGCAGAGTCGAAGGGCACGACCTGGACGATGTTCGCGTTTGCGCGCTCCTCCTGGACTGGACCTGCTCCCAGGTGATCTCGACAAAAGGAGAGCAGGGCGACTTCGGTCTTGGATCCAATAAAGGTTTTCTCTCCATCCTCGTCACCTTCAAAGGCTGTGGAGTTGACGGCGTTGCCTTGAATTAGTAGGCCCTTGGTCTCCGTGCTGAGGTCCTTGGTGAAATCAGCAACAGGAACGTTCCGAACTGAGGACACAGGTGCTCCGTTAGAGCTGCTGCTCTTAGCCTTGCCCTCCTTGGATTCTTCGAGCGGAGTATCTGTGCCGCCAAAGCTGACGCTCTTGCCCAGAGTCGTCGCAACTACCGTCATCTTGTTCTGGGTCAGTGTCCCAGTCTTGTCGGAACAGATCGTCGTCGCGTTTCCCATGGTCTCGCAGGCTTTTAAAACTCGAACTAAGTTGTTGTCTTTCATCATGCGGTTGGTCGCGAAGGAAAGGGCCAGGGTAACGGCTAACGGCAAGCCCTCCGGCACTGCTACCACGACAACAGTGATGGAGACGATGAAGATCTTCATGAACTCCTGACCTTTCTCAGCGGCCGTTCCTTGGTTATTCGGCAGTTTGACGAGAAACCTGATGAACAACGCCACGAACAACAGAAGACCGGCAGCGCCACCGGCTTTTGCAATGAAGTCGGCGAGAATGTTGAGCTTCCTCTGAAGAGGTGTTTCTTCCTGTTCGGTTCGCAGAGACATCGTGATGCGGCCGTACGATGAGTTGACACCCACAGCCGTGACCAAAAAGGCTCCAGTACCTTCTTGAACTTTGCTGCCGGAAATGATAAAGGGGTCCAACTTTTCGACATCAGGCCGAGCAGCACCTCCGTGCGCCATCTTGTCCAGCGCTTCAAAGACTTCATCAGCTGCGACTTTTCTGAGAAGGTCAGATTCTCCTGTAGCAGACGATTCATCGCATTTAAGACTGTGACCGTCGATGAATATGCCGTCGACTGGCACGACATCGCCAGTGCTGAGGTGCACGACGTCGCCGACGACGATATCATGAACAGGTATCTCCGCTGATTTCCCAGACCGGATGGCCTTGACGGTTCTGTCGTCATTCTTCTTGTTCAGAGTATTGAACTGGCGCTGCATGTTCCAATCATTGATTGACCCGACCAAGACGACGGCGACGATGGCAACGACGATGGCCATGCCCTCGACCCAGTCAACGCGTGGCTCACCCTCCTTGTGGGTCGGGCCGTATGATTCGTAGAAGCCAAGAGAGAGGGATATGATAGCAGCAGCGGTCAGCAAAATCAGAATTTTGTCGTTGTAAGCGATCCAAACAAACTGCAGGAACGATGTTTGCTTCTTGTCTGGCAGCTGGTTGTCTCTGAAAGCGACTTTCCGGTCCGAGAAACCACCGGTATACTCGTTTGGCGGAGGGGGGATAAAGTCGTCTCCTTTTGAGGTGGGGTCCTTTTCGGGCACATTGTTGCCAGCTGCACCATACTTGGGGGCTCCTTTGGTGGCAGCCTCTTCGAAGGAGACTGTGCCATCCAGGCGATCTTCGTCGACACTCAGGCCCGTCTTCCGATTCGTTCGAAGACCTTTCTCCAAGCCCGCTAGACCACCCAGTGCATAGAATGCGTTGAGACTCTTTGGATTCAAAAGCTTGGAGAGCTGGCCAGGAGAAAAGGCGAACTTTTCATTCTTAGGCTTGAACATGTCCTCGGTGCCACGATCCGGCGTCAACGCGTCCGCCGTGTCCAAGTGGAAGCCATGTGACTCATGGTGATCCTTGGTCTTCTCAGATATGACATCTTCCGAATGGTGTTCGCTGCCATGCTCGACCTTGTCGGCGACGTCGATGCCCTTGTCGGCGTGCTGGGCCTCTGTCGTCGCTTTCTCTGGCGGCGTCGCCATATTCAATAGCCTCTATTCGTTATGTTGATGTATCGATTAACGGAGATGTAAGAGGCTTCAGTAAATACTTCTCATGCTGCTGTCGATGGGAGAAAAGATGAAACGTTGGAGGTGTACCAGCTTGGCAGAGGAATTAGGTCAATAATACGTATAGTTTCCTTCTTCGGAAGGAGGCTTATTAAAGAAGTGGTAGACGAGGCAATGCCTCGAGGAACTGCAAGAACTGCTCACTGTTGGGGTAGGAGGCAGAGTGCGGAAACTAAGCAAACACATGTAAGGGAGGCAAGTAGGAAGTGAGGAAGAGGCAGCAACTCCCTTGTATACCTAAGGTAGCTTGTGCCTGATGTTGCCCACTAGAACTCCTTCAACCATAACAAACTCAATTTGAATCTTAATGGCCCCAAAATCTCCGACAGGTCCTTGGCTCCTGCCTTGCATAATCTAGGTATGGTGTACCGCGGCCCTCGGGGAAGAGGCAATCTACCGACATCATTCGTCAAACAAGCAATGACGGAGGGGATGCGTTGTTATTGCACAAAACAGGCGACAGAAACAGGCCTCCAGGTCAGTGCCAAGAGTGAGCGCGCAGGGCTATGGCAATTCGTCTAAACAGGCAAATTTGCCTGGGTGTTGCGCGAGAGGTGGTGGTTTGATGAGAGCGAGACCAGCATGTCGCCTAAGGCTTGGCAAACGCGGACTGTGCCAGGCAAAGCTTGAACCTGACGGGACGAAGCTTGTCTCTCTGCCAAGGGCGGTTACGAGGAGCGTTGCGTGTCATTGATGACGATGAATCCCTTAATCAACCAGTCTTCCTTTCATCTCTTCACTGAGACCATAAATCGTCTGGAACCTCGCAATGCCACCCCAGATAGACTGTGTCCAGCATGAGGCTTTGGGGCTGGAGGCAGCCGGCGCACTCTTATTTTGACAGACATGAGAGGTGCACTCGTGCGGCATCCATGCAGATGCAGGCCCGGCAGGTGTCCCGTCATGCTGACCGACGAAACGCCTTTCATTCGCCCTGCGGAGTGTGTCGGTGAGAGAGGCCCTCTTGTGAAAGCCACTTGTTGCGCAGGGCCAACTAAGGAAGCCATGGACGAGCCTTCCCGGCCTGGTAGCGGCTCCTGATGTTTAAATAGAGCTTCGGGTCAACGAACCTAACGATGGTACGGTCAATCAGATTGAAACAGGCAACCAGGAATTTGCCTCGCCAAACCCCAGGCGGAACGGAGTTCTGCGTTGTCGCCCACATGCCACTTCACCCTGTCGAAGACTACTCCGTGCCAAGGCCCATCGTATGAGACCGAGGGCGACAGACCAGGGGAAATGGAAAAAGCCTGGCTGCACAGGGGCAAGGATTCTGTGGCAACCTCGAAATTTGGGATGACACGGGAGAGTGCCTGACAGTGTGGTACTTGACTTTGTTTGCGAAGGAGAGAGTAGGATACGCCGGCTTGATGCAGCTATGACTGGCTAGAGTGGGCGACACACGTGGCGTCATACCGACCTGGCTTCGCTTTCCTCCAGCGCAGATGAGAGGGTTGCGAGCGAGCGCGAGAGAGAGTCCAGTGCCCGAGTGCTCCCCGCTGCCCCCAGCTGTTGTCAATGGAAGCTCATAGCTGTGGCGGTACGTGCCCGTGGTTTCGTCCAGTGTTCCTGGATCCGCCAGATTGGATGGTCGTGGCCCGGGCCAATCATGGTCCAGCGGTGAGCAAGAAGGTTCAGACCCCAGAATGGTCTGTGCGCGGTGCACGAGGAGGGGCTGTTTCGACGTCGTCTCCCACCTTCTTTTTGCCAAATCGAAACGGGACCTTTCCACGGCTACGTAGCTTGTCGCCCTCTTGTTTCCTGCCATCAGCTGCATTGCATCCGATTGCTGGCTTGTCTTGTCTGCAACTGCCAAACTGCCCCGAAAGCTGCAGCTGCAGCGGTAGTTCTGGAAAGAAACAAGGTGCGACCGTGTGTGCCCCGCGGTAGGCTGTGATCATCTGCCGCATCCAACCGCATTCGACACCTGCCCAACCGAGCCGAGCTGCCCGCAGCTACCAGCATCTGGCGGACTTGACACAGCTACAGCCGCACATTGGCTACAGCTCTTGTTCGCGATATACCGATTCACTTATTCGGCGCCCAAGCGTACCTTACCGAGTGCGCCCGGCGAAGCTGTTGGGTTGTTGGGTTATCGCCGATCACTTCGATTTTACGCGAATCCGGACGAACGTGCCCGACGACATGCCTTCTGAACCCAAACCCTCCAACGCGGGCATCGTGACCGACGATGCAGGCGAACGCCAGATTCCCGAATCCGTGCGAGCCGACGGTAGCACCCGCAAAGCAATCAAGATCCGCCCCGGTTACCGCCCACCTGAGGATGTTGAGGTCTACAAGAACCGCACTGCCGCAGCTTTCCGTGACCGCGGAACGAGGACCGGCATCCCTGGTGCGGCCGGCCTGAAAGACGACAAGCCTGAGGCGTCATCTTCAGCTGCTAGCAATAAGAACGCCAAGCGTCGAGAGGCAAGAAGGAAGGCCAAGGCCGGCACCGAAGACGAAGCCGACGACCAGAAGGCCAAGACTGTCGATGAGGCACCCAAGGCCGAGGAGGCTGATCCTGAGGTGGAGCGAGAGAAGAAGGCCCGCAACATAAAGAAAAAGCTCAAGCAGGCGAAAGACCTCAAGAATAAGAAGGAAGGAGGAGAGACGCTTCTGCCCGAGCAAATTGCCAAGGTCATCAAGATCAACGAGCTTATTCGCGAGCTGGACGCTCTCGGATTCGACGCTGATGGCGAGCCGAAGGCGAAGACAAATGCGGGAGATTCGGCGGCCGACGACAACGCAAAGGACGCATGACCGGTGTTTGAGCCATAAACCCTCGATATTTGCCAAAAGCTAGGAAGTCACACAAAGTCGAAGATCCATGCATAATTCATTTTGCTGGATTCTTTCGCCATATCCGCGCCCTTCCACCGTGCGTCTGATGTCGTCGCGAAACTCCCAAGCAAAATGATCTTGGAAAGGAAACGGGACTTTGCAAGAAGCAATTGACAGCCATTCTAAGGCATTGGACGCGGAACGCAGCGCAACGCCCCTGGGGTCGCAAGGATACAGAACACCGCCATTGGCAGGCATACCAACTGCCGATGCGTTTCTTTCGGTGGATCATCGCGACACCATCTAGAGACGGCCACTGATGATATGGTTGTCGTCGAGATAGCGCAGTCATTCAGAGCTGCGAAAGTCAGCCTGGCGTTGTTCACTTCAAAAGTTTTCTGAACGCACGGCGAATGCGTATCCAAAGACAAGCCAGATATGCGGGCACCGAGACCGCAAGCTTAATAATGACGAGACTTTGATCGATGATAATTATTAAAAATTTTCTCAAGTGACCGTTGCCTTCTTCGAAGGTTCCTGTGCGTCGGGCTGCATCAAACAACACACATTGGATTAAGAGGCTGCTAGGAGCTTGGCGGCGTCTCAACCTTCTGCGTGCACATCTTCGATGCAACAGGAAACACGCAATGTTGCAACGTTGCGGGTGCGAATTATCTTTCGTTGTCGTCGGGGTTGAAGATTGCGGGACCACGACGCCGATCCGGATGACTTCGTCTCATCCGGATCCCGGTCGGATGGCCTGGCGGGAGATGGGGAACAGATCCCCGGTTGGATCGGTGGGCCACTTCGAATAAAAAAACCCGCGAAGTGTGGAGTTCCCGAGCGCACCAGGGTCCATTCAATGAGCAGCTTTGACGCCGTGGCCTGGAGGCTGATTCACCACGTTTCTTTTCAATCGGCAATTAGATGCTTGGGCCAGACCTGCATGAGATTCCCCGCTGCTCTTGAGATCGGGGTAAACTGAATCTCTCTGTTACTGAAATGCTGAATTCGGACACGCATCAACCAGAAAAGAAAAAACTGAATGAAAAGTATAGCTAGATGTTCTACCACAACTGCCAGGATTTAAGGGCACTGCATATAAAGGACGAGTGGTGTTGGGTAATCACCCATCTTGAGGGTTACTACCAAGTGTCAAGAGCACCGTCTTTGTCTCGTTTCGGCGATGAATGGCGGGCCGCGCATATTGCCGTTTCTGCCATGACGTGCAAAGTGACAGGTAACGGCGCGGAGCGGAAGTGATATTCATTGGACGTGGAAATGGGAGCCAGAGAACAATGGATCGAGGACGGATAGTCGGCAGCATCAGTGGCCACCGGATGGTTGCATTGCGAGAACGGTCACGTCCAGTCTCTCCGAGACAGTGTGAGGAGCGCACAGCGGTTCGCACCGACCTTGATCCGTGGTCACGTCCCGGACTGGAAGCCGTTCGGTTTTCTCTCCCATCTCAGTTGCTACTAGGTCTCGTATATTTTCAAAAGCGATGTTTTCCGGCCAGTCAAACGCCGAAGAACGCAAGTGGATGCCTGCCCCTGGTGACGCGTCTCAGTTATGTGGTGCGCCCTCTCTTCAGCTTCACAATCGAGGGGGCCGTTGGGGGTTGAATCTGTTGGGATTTCACAGCGCGCCAGCTGCGGCTGGATGTTGCGGAGATTAAAACACATCTTCATGATTCGAAAAGAAAGATATCACCAACGAAGGTTGGTTCCGCGACGCATAATACTCAGAGAAAAAAGAAACCCGCAGGCCGTTGGCAGTCGGTGTTCTATTAAAAGTCGCCGTGCATGGGGGCGGGGCCGACAGGCGCTGCACCGTGATCCGTCGGTAGCACCGGGGCCTCCCTGGTGCATGCTTCCTGATGCGTTGGTGTGGCGTCAAAGCTAGGGTGGAGCTGAAGCTTAGCCACCCGACTCGCGTGCGAAACATACCTCCTACGCTGACGTTTCCTCCGGACCTTTCTTTGACTTCGACGACCTTCCAACCATCATCGGTCTTGACACCACATAAATCAATTGCTGCTGGGCTGGCCCGAACCACTTCTTCCCTGCGCAAACCCCATCAACACCGGGAGAAATTCCTGCCTCCTTCACACTTGCGACTTCGCATCCCATCCAGCCACTTTGTTCTTTTGATGAACACCACGACTCCGACACAGCTCCAAACATGAGGTTAGGGGGCAAGGCTGCAGCCTCCTGGCGCATCCTGCTGTCTGTCCTTACCTGGACAGCAGCCGTCCATGCGAAGGATGATCCGACAATCAGCGTCACCACAACCAAGCACCCGCCCGCCGGCCTAAGCTACTTCGAAGACTCCGACGTTATCCTCTACCACGACATCTCTGAACGCAACATTTACCGAACCGACGATGCGGGTGTCACATGGAACAAGGTCAAGGGAATCCCCGACGACAAAGCCGCCCTGTTCGTGATGCACGAATTCGACAAGAGCCGCGCCTACGTCCTTACCGAGACCAACAAGCACTACAGGACCACCGATAAGGGCAAGACCTGGGACGAGTTCGACAGCGTCATCGAGAAGAGTTTCTTCCAGGGCGCCGACATCCTCCATTTCCATGCCGGCGATCCCGATCGCATCATTTTCGGTGGTATGCAATGCGCCGGCATTTTTTGCCAGGAAGTCGCCATGTACACGACGGACAACTTCAAGAGCAAAGCGAAGCCCCTGCGCAACAACATCGTGGGGTGCTGGTGGGCCAAGTCATCCGCCATGTTCACCACCGGCCAGAAAGACCTCGATGAGCAGCGCATTCTGTGTATCGCTCTCGACAAATCCTCGACTTCAAAGTACGATTACAGGCTTTTCGCCTCGGATAACTACTTTGAAGAGAAGGGCAACCAGATCCAGGAGTTCGAACCCAACATGGACACGAACAAGGGCGTCTCGGGCGTCGTCAACCTGGCTGTTGTCAAGAAGTACCTGATGGTTGCGACTTCTTCTCCCAACACCGACGAGATGGCCTTGTTCGTCACCGACGACACGATCAAGTGGCACCGCGCCATGTTCCCCGCCGCGCATGGCCATAAGATCAACCAGGATGCGTACACGGTTTTGGAGAGCACAAACTACAGCATCCAGGTCGACGTGGTCAACACCGGAACTTCAAACCCCATGGGCGTCATGTTCACCAGTAACTCCAATGGCACCTTCTTCATTGAGAACATTGAGCACACCAACCGTAATAGGAGGGGTCATGTTGACTTTGAGAAGATTACCGGCGTTCAGGGTGTCTTCATCGTCAATGTCGTCAAGAACGCTGAAGAAGTAGAGAAGAATCACAAGGCGGCAAAAGAGGTCATCACCAAGATCACGTTTGACGACGGCCGTAACTTCCACGAGCTCAAGGCCGGCAGCGACAACATTCACTTGCACTCAGTCACGGACCTCGACAACGTTGGCAGAGTCTTTTCCAGCCCCGCTCCTGGCCTTGTTCTCGGCATTGGAAACACGGGCAAGTCCTTGGGCAAGTTTGAAGAGGGCGATGTCTTCGTTTCCGACGATGCCGGAGTAACGTGGAAGAAGGCTTTGGATGGCCCCCACAAGTACGAGTTCGGTGACCAGGGCTCGATCCTGGTGGCTGTCAAGGATTCCTACAAGGAGGATGTCTCGGAAGTTCGCTACTCCCTCGACCACGGCGAGAGCTGGAAGAAGGTCGCGCTCCCGAATGACCTCAAGATCAAGCCTGAGCTCCTCACCACGACCCAGGACTCGACCAGTCTCAAGTTCCTGCTTGTTGGAAGAACCGGCGGCGGTGACAACCCTAACTTTCACCTCATCGCACTTGACTTTGAGGGCCTGCACGAGAGAACTTGCAAAGATGATGATATGGAGGATTGGCACGCTCGTCCCGATGACAACGGCAAGCCGACCTGCTTGATGGGCCACAAGCAGACCTACCGACGCCGCAAGAAGACCGCCGACTGCTTCATCAAGCAGGAGTTCAAGGACCCTGTTCCGGTTACCGAGGACTGCGAATGCACGGATGCCGATTTCGAGTGCGACTACAACTTTGTAAGGAAGGAGGGCAAGTGCGAGATTGCCGGGCCTATCATCAAGCCTGATGGCGCATGCAAGAACGCCAAGGCGGAGGACACGTTTAAAGGCACTTCTGGCTGGCGCTTGATTCCTGGAAACACTTGCAAGCGTAAGAGTGGCGCTCAGAAGGATGACCCCGTCGAGCGAAAGTGCGGTGATACGGACACGCGTCCTAGCGTACCCGTCGACGGCAAAGTCAAGGCCATCAAGCACACCTTCGACACGAAGAAGACCGACTTTGAGAAGTTCTACTTGGAACGGGGCGAGACGAACAAGGAGACTGACGAAACAATCATTGTTCGACCCATCGAATATACGAGCAGCGGCCAGATGAAGATCGATCCGTCGGCACCCATCTGGCGGACAAAGAACCACGGCAAGGACTGGGATACTATTCTCAAGGACGAGAAGATCTACGGAATCTACCCGCACAACCACTTTAAGGACACCGTTTTCTTCACGACCGATTCAAAGAAGGTCATGTACACCATCGACCATGCTGAACACTTTCACCATTTTGACGCGCCTACTGAAGCCGATACTGAGATGGGCAGCCCCTTGTCCTTCCACCCTGACAAGAAGGATTGGCTGATCTGGGTTGGTAAGAAGTGTGAAAAGGATGAATGCTGGCATGAGGCATCAATCACGAAGGATCGTGGTGACAACTGGCACACAGCTCTTCGCTATGTCCGCAAGTGCGAGTTCACTGGAAACTCGGCCTACAAGTTCCGCGATGCGCGCCAGATTGTCTGCCTGGCCAACAAGGAGGAGAACAACGACAAGGGCACACCAAAGGTGGTTGTTTCCAGCAACGACTTTTTCGAAGAGGACAAGCAGTATCACCAATCGGACGTCAGCGACTTTGCCACAATGGCTGAGTTCATTGTCGTTGCTGTCGAGGATAAGCAGAAGGACGACCTGAAGCCATATGCCAGTTTGGATGGAGTGACATACGCCGAAGCGCACTTCCCTGTCAACTTCAAGGTTGGACACAAGAACGCCTACACTGTTCTTGACAGCTCCACGCATGCTGTGAACCTCTTCGTGGCTACTTCGTCCGCTGAAGGCCGCCGGTACGGAAGCATCATCAAGAGTAACTCCAACGGCACGTCGTACGTACAGAGCGCCGCCAAGGTCAATTGCGACGACAGTTACTACGTCGATTTCGAGAAGATTGCTGGTCTTGAGGGTGTCGCGCTCATCAACACAGTCATCAATTCCGACAAGGAGAGCGAGCCGAAGAAGGTCCACACGCAAATCAGCCACAACGATGGTGCTCAGTGGGCTTTCCTGCCACCCCCTCGCAAGGATGCGGCGGATAAGAACTACGACTGCAGCAGCAACGAGGGTGACGAGAAGTGCGCCCTTCATCTTCATCACTACACGGAACGAACCGATAAGAAGAAGACATTCTCCGCTGCGACTGCTGTTGGTGTCATGTTCGGCAATGGCAACGTCGGCTCCAGCCTGGGTAGCATCAAGGATGCTGATACCTTCATGTCAACGGACGCCGGTATCACCTGGAAGAGCGTGGCCAAGGGAGTCTGGACATGGCAATACGGCGACCAAGGCTCCATCATAGTCCTTGTCCAGCGCTATACTACCGCCACCCCCAACAAGTCGAATGTTTTCAAGTATTCCACGAATGGAGGTAAGGATTGGGAGGAACAAAAGTTCGACGACAATGAAGTCAAGATCATGGATATCACGACTGTTCGTTCCGGATCGTCGCGCAATTTCCTTCTCTGGTGCAAGTCCGATAAGGATGAGATGTTCACCGTCGACATTGACTTCACTAGTCTGACCGACAAGCCGTGCAAGTATGAGAAGAATGGTGAATCCGACTACTACACGTGGTCTCCCAAGCACCCGATGCAGGCAGACAACTGCCTGTTTGGTCACGTCACGGAGTATCTGCGCAAGAGAGAAGACCGAAACTGCTTCAACGACGGCCGCGTCGAACGCCTCCCCCAGATTTCAAACTGCACTTGCACACGACCTGACTTTGAATGGTGAGTTATCAGAGAAACGACGAACCTCTTTGATACTTTGACTGACGTTCGTAATAGTGACTACAACTTCGAGCTGGACAATCACAAGCAGTGCAGTCTTGTACCTGGCAAGCAGCCCATGTCGGCTGAGCAATGGTGCAAGGAGAACCCCGACGCCGTCGAGTACTACGAGCCCACGGGATACCGCCGCATTCCTCTCACGACCTGCGTCGGTGGCCAGGAGCTCGACAAGCAATCTCAGGTCCACGCCTGCGCCGGCAAGGAAGACGAGTTTGAGAGGCGCCGCGGCACTTCTGGAGTGGCCATCTTCTTCGCTGTCATCATTCCTGTCGGAGTGGCAGCCGCTATCGGTTGGTGGGTTTACAACAACTGGAACAGCAAGTTTGGCCAGATCCGCCTGGGAGAATCACCGAGCATGGACAGCGAGGCGCCGTGGGTTAAGTACCCCGTCATCGCGCTCTCGGCCGTGGTCGCCGTCGTTTCGGCGCTGCCACTCGTCGCTTCCGCCGTGTGGAGAAGCGCCACCTCTGCTTACGAGAGGGTGAGTAGCGGCAGTAGAGGAGGCAGCTGGTTGTCCGGAAGGGGCAACAGGCGTTTCACGACGAGGGATAGCTTTGCTCGCGGCAGAGGCGACTATGCTGTCGTAGACGACGACGAGGGCGAGCTTTTGGGCGACGAGAGTGACGATGAGGTATAGAGAGCTTTCATGAACGACGATTGAAGGGTTGGCTCGGGTTCCCGGTTGGGGGAAAACGCCTGAGAGACATAGGACAGGACTTTCGATACTGTGACACAAATTACTGTTTCTCTTGGATCGGCGTGAGGCTAGGAAAGGCGGCGAAAGGTCGGAGAGAACCCCAGGGGGGTAGATTTGCTTAGAAAGGGAGGGAAACACATTTGTACGTTATCAGGCATTGCGATTAAACCATTGAGCGTTCGTTTCAAACAAGACATCTCCTCGTGCGGTGAAGAAGAACCAAGGGACCCTCTCTTTCTGTTTGCGGGGTGAAAGGTCACACAGCCTCACAGCGAAAGAGCTCTCGCGGAAATGCCGACATGATGTGCGCGAGTCAAACTCAGCCTCGGAGGGCTGGCGGTCTGGCTGCTTAGGCGAGATGTGCCAAATCACCGACGACCTTCGACCCCGGGCAGCAAAGTGTCGGGGACATGCCGGTCAGCCCGGGCCGGGGGAGGCGCCCTTTTCTCGGGGGGCCGGCAAGTTTGGGATCTTAGGTTGCTGCTGACCGCCTACGAATGCAACTGGGCTGTTTGCCATCACGGGGACGGGGGAGGAGGGGGAGCCGTCGTCTGAATGAATCGAACACCAGGCTGGTTGCTGCGAAGAAAGGGTAACGAAGATTCGTATTCCGCAATGTTATCTGCTGCTTGGATCTTCCCTCCATTGGGCTGAAGTGGGCACACGTGGGCAGGGACGGGAAAGACGGCCTTGCACACTCTCTACGGCGGATATCCAATGCTGATCTCAGAGGTTCGAGAAGGGGCTATTGGGAAGGTGATGTGCAGAGGAGAGGTCAAGCATTTTCTTGTTCGCCTGTGGTGTGGACCGGTGTGGTCTTTTCTGTGGTGATCGTCGGTGGTGCTAGGGGATATGGCCCATATGGAAAGAGATGTTTCCGAGGACGGTGTTGTATTTTGTGATTGGGGTTCCAGGGAATTACATGTTAGGCAGGCTGTTAGCACTGGACTGGTGATTACGGATAGCTTACCGCCATCGCTGGTCAGATGCGATAGGGGGTTCCATTTGGTCTTGTCGCAATTTGCCCGAACGGTTCGGGTTGGTTGCCCATATCACGAATTTGGGCGGTCTTCTGCTTTCTTTCGCTTTGGGGGAGACGAGGGAACAACAAGATTGGACTTGGGTGGTTTCGGGGAGGGATCGACATGCAGTCTCCGCGGATGCAGAATGCAGCAGCGCAGAGAGATGCGGCGGGGAGAAAAATACGAGGTGACCCAGACTTTGGTTCTTGGTTTCTTTTGAGTGCAGTTGAAGAGCCGGGGAGGATAAGGCGGAGAGGGGAGGGGTGTTGGGGCAGGGGGGACGATAGCGAGTGGGATTGAGGCAAAAAAGAACTGGATGGGACGAGAGGGAAAAAAAAAAAAAAGGGGTAGGTGGTGGGGGACCTTGTTGGAGACTGTGAAGCTATTCGTGAAGCTGGATTTTGTGAAGGTCGCCCGGAGATTTGATGTCCACTTGGCGGGCATTGCATAAATCCTGCGAGTGGGTGACATGTTTTTATGCAAGAGGAAAGACAATATTCGACGAGAGAGATGCCCAACGTAGCCCGGTCACGAGTGCGAGATGGCAGATACCTTTTGAGTAAGCAAACTTGACCCCCAAAAGTTGTATTTGCGAATTGTTCTTTGGTGCGACCGTTGCATCGCGTGCGCTGTGCCGTTGCGTATTGTCGTGGTATCCTCCCGTTGCGTGGTTTTAAGGTATTCCGGGGGAGGCGAAGGGCGCTCGTTACCGGATAAGCGGCGGGCAAGATGGAGAGACCGCTTTTTCTGCCTTTGTTTGTGGCGAAAGTTTAAGCTGACCTTGGAGAGAGAGAGAGCTGGAAACAGGGCTGTTCTTTCCCGCCCCCGTGCCCGGCCAGACTGGCTGAATCGGAAGTGCACTGATAACAACGACATCATCGATGATCAGCTAGACATCCGCGGAGAGCGTCAGGTCGCGGCCCATGACGGCAGGCAGAAATTTCCCGTATTCCCTGATGAAATGGCAGCGCGCGGCGTCCTTCCATGCAGCGAAGATGAACCCAGACGTGGATGGTGGTTGTTGGCGGACCCACGGAGCCAGACTGCTGCAGAGAAGAAAGCTGGAAGAAACGCAAAGCGCGCACAGCTCAGACCACGAGCAGGCTTGATGAAGGAGGCCAACAACGGCGGTGGCGCTTTCCAGGTTTCTTTTGGGGGTGTTTGGGGTGAGGCGTGTTAGTGGCAGTGGTGGTCCTGCCTGGCCTGCAGAGGCGGTCTCGGGCAATTCTTTTGGATTTCGGGGCCCTTGCATTGGCAGGTCGCATTTGAGTACATGCCTATGCAGGTACAGCTGAGATGCATCTCGTCGAGCTGACCTCATTTTCAGGCTGTGAGCGCAGCCAACTGCAGGAGGCAGGTCAGACGATGACAGCGACCCCTTTTGCTCGGTAGCAGAATCTCGCATCTAGACATCTGAGTTGAAATCACGCCCAAGAAGTCGCAATTCCAGATTCCATCGCGGCAGATGATGCTGGCGGCGCAGACGGTAGACCTAGGCGCCGGTTGTCGCAAGCCACGAACATGAGACTGTGGGGAAGAGATACCTAGGTGTAATACACCGACCACACGCACCACCTCCCTCTCTCTTTTTCCCGAGTGTGTCTAGAACCCAGATGCAGACGAAATGGCCGATTCGAGATTCGAAAAGGGAGGGGACGTGATACGTTTCCATTTCGTCTTCTTCCCAAAGCGTGCAGAAGATCATCATCATAATCAGCGTAGGGCAGGAGGCCAGACGGGGGTGTGTTGCTCTTTGCAATCTTGCTTGTGGTTCGTCTAACTCAACTGTGGCTGCCGCGTTCATTCCAAAAAAATCTGCCAGACCTTGCACCTTGCAGTTGTAAGGTGCGTGTCCATGCGAAACGACGGGAGCAGATTGGACGAATACGAAAATAAACTGTCATCGGAGCCGGACGGCAACGCCAAATTCGTAGCTGAGGAAGATGGAACATCCTGATGCTGCAACACCGTCACTGAACCATTCCGTTTTGAAAAGACCACCGCGCCGATTCGTCTTGCTCGGACTGGATCAACGGGGGCACTGACTACATTAGCACTGCCGCTGCAGCGTGCATCTGGGCAGGTCTGCACTAAGGCAGTTGGTAGGACGGCTAGACTGTGATGGAATTAGATAGATGAGATTTGGATAGCTTCAGGTTGCTCTCTTCCTTCCGGCAGAGGCCAGCGCGAGTGAGTGTTAGTGCCAAGGCACGAATGGACAGGCCGAAGACCGGTTCGTCTGGGCGGCACCTGCAGAAGCCATAAGTAGTGAGGTAAGGTACTTCGTAGACCAGAGACCTGACAGCGTGAGCGAGAGCTTCATCTAATTTTCTGGGTCCTTGGTGCTAATGTCGCTTAGCTAATTTCCCGGGCGCACCAGTCCAAGGCCGCTCATTCACCTCTGCCCCCCTTCTTCCTTCCCAACTTCCCAAGTGTTGCTGCATGGCCCCCCCGCACCCGCCGATCCCTCCCAAATCAGTGGACTGCCACTTCGGGTACCTTGCAGCTCCGCCCTCTAGCCTGCAAGGCCGGTGCTGTTTCTCTCTCTCTCTCCCGTCACTCGTCGCTCTCAGCCGCTGTTGCTGTTGGTAGTGGTGGCTCACATCATCCCCTATTTTCCCTCGTAACCTTGTCTTCACGCGCTTTCGTTGCTTCTTTCCGCCTTGTTCCTCACTGACACGGTAGCTTGGAAGCAACTGGAGTCCTGTTCTCGAACCACACACACGCGCACCAACGCTCTGTGCTGAATACTGCTGACCCTCTGCAATTGGCCAACCTCACGCTGTCTCAAAGTCACCCGTTTTCCTGTCCTGCGCTCACAGCTGCCGAGTCGTCAAATCTTGGGCACAATTAAACGCCCTCCATTAACGGTGGATTCGGTTGGTCAAGGGCTCTCGCTCCGTCGTTCGCTTTCTTCTAATTCGCCTCTTGCCTTTTCTCTTTCTCTCTCTCGCCGCCGGTTGCTCTGGGTGCCCAGGTGCTGGATCGTCTTGGCTTTCCAATAAGGGTTGACACGACCACGCTTAGCCGGGATTGCCATCTCGCCTCCCCTTTTCCTTGCGCGCTGTCAATCGTTTTGAATGGGTCAACTTGAAGATTGGCCAAGAACCCACCAACACCGACAATTGGTTGGCTGCGGCCCCCGACTCGCTGCCAGTGCTGTTCACCAGCAGATTGCAAAGTCCCGTATCTCTCAGCCCTTTGCCCAGGGCCCTCGCTCTGCCATGTCTCCGTCCACAGCCTGTCAGACTGACGAAGGCGACAGCTTTTGATCACTGCTCCGGCTTCCCATGATCAAGGTCCTGGGGCTCTCTCCACCGCCCTCGCCGTCTTGGGCTTCGAGGCCCTTGGAGGATCAAACGGTTCTGGCTCCTCTCCTCGCTCGGGGTCAGGTTCTAGGTCTGGTTCCTCGACCTCATGCCGTGGTTCGTGGCCCTGCCTGCTGCCAAGTGAGGCAGGGGCTTGTTTGCTGGCAGCAAAAAGTCTTGCTGGCAAGTTACCTCACTTCTGAGGTGCTGCTTGTGCACACTAAAACAACGAAACGACGCTTCCTGGCATGGCTGAGATGCGCCCACATGGCCATGGCCACATCCCTATCCAGTCCGTCAAGCCCATCAAGCCATGGATGAACCGGTTCCCCGTTGGTAAACAAGTGTCACCCACACCGGGCACACACCTTCAGGACGAGTGCCCATTCGTACTAGGTACGGTATGCTTAGATGCCCACCCGTCGTCCACATCTGCTGGGCATCCACATCCACACACTACCTATCCTTGAGGTGGGCGGGCTACACACCGCACCGCGTCGTGCACACACCCCGGTTCGTCGTCGGCCACCCCCAGGACCCCCCCCAGGTCAGGGACTCCTCCCAGAGTCGTACCCATGAGAGAGTACGGATACTAGCCTTCTACCTAATC